ACCAAGAAACAGTCCTTAAATCCCTAAATAGTACTGAACCAAAGACCCTTCATGAGTTGTAATGGTACTGGAGGATTTTTTTTTTCTAGCCGTTTACTAAAACATTTCTAACTTCTATACAATAAGAGCTATCTTTAAGTTATTTTATTTTTATTTACTGCACATACTTTATTTTTCTTATTTTGTCTATCCTTTTTTCGCCTTTTAGGCTGGTTAGAGGGCGGGGCATTAATGCCCAGAGTTAAATGCTCCTCATTTCCCTCTCTCCTCAGCATCCCCCTTGCCATCGGGGTTTATAACAGATAAACTTCAATTTATCTTTGTGTGGTTGGTTGCCGTGCACGGAATGTTTTACACACTCGTTAGCTCGCTCTGCCACCTACTGTACAAACTTCTTGATTATTATTTAATTATTATTTTGCTTCTTTTATATTTATTTATATTTTCTGTATATATGGTGTGATTGTAATCTTCCCTGACAGAATGGTTTATTATTCAATAAAAAATTATAATAAGGAAAAAAAGATAAATCTTTTCTCATGCAGGAGATAACTTTTTAGAAATATATGTATGTAATTTATGATATATATCTGTAATATGTCACAGGGCTGATACTCATGTCACCAATCGTTTTCTACAAAATCCCTTCCATTGGGCGCAAAATCATATTTTAATTATTAACTATCATATTTTAAGCCTTAACTCAATCCTCTCACCTTCGATTCGGCTTAACCCTCGAACTCGTACCACTCAGCAAAGCGCATGTCGTTATTTTAGTTCTTCTTTCGTTTCTAAGCACAGAAACTTAACATACCCATTTTATTCTCAATTTAATTGAAAACTAATACTCAAGAAGATTAAATAAATATCTAACATACAGAATCGTGGAAAATAATGAAGAGTGTCGAAAAAAATTAGGAATAATAATTTCTAAAGACTAATATTATTTAACAGAAATCTGATATTTCCTTGAAAACTAAAAATGGTACGTTTCACAATACTTTTAAAACTATTTTATCATGTTTTTGTAAGGTAATTTCAAGCAGCTTAAAATATTTGATATATTTAGTTAATTGATAAACATTGTTATTGTTTACAGATTGATAGTCATATGGTAATAATCTTTAATAATTTAAACTGTAGTACGTAACTGCATACCTAGTAGTAATACTTAATTAAGCCACAATTATGTACTTCAATAATTAAATACAAAGTATCACTATTTGAACTGGAATTTAATTATTTACATAGACTGGTAAGGGAAAGTTGTGTTATTCATGCCGCCCTAATTTTATTTTTAATTTATATGATATTTAATATTACACTTTTTTTTGTAAATGGGATTATATTTAACAATTCTTTTATTATTGCATTATTATTACTCTTTTTTTTTTTAATTAAAAAGAAATATATAAATCTGCCTCCGTTCTGCTGGACAGCTGGAGTTAAGGACGTGGACACAACGAATTCATATTTTAATTTTTTTCTTTTATCACCGCTCGACAATGACTTAAGAATAAATAGTAAATTGAAGCAGAAACGACAAGGAGATGCCGTTAAATCCGTGCTATAAAAAGGTAGCAAGTTGAATCCTTCGGGGAAGGGGACAAAGGAAGAATTTGTGGTGGCCCCAATAGTAATGATATATAGAGCTGCAGTGGTTCGCTGGTTCAAATCCCCTCTAACCGCTCTCTGCAATAATAAAACCACCCTTTTTATTTTCCCTTGGTTTCTTCGGTGGAACCAAGTCAACTTTCAAAACGAGACATAAGCTGAGTAGATTGTTTTGTACAGGTCGAAAAATTTCCAACAAAATAAAAATTACTTAAATTCGGATTGGCTTAATATAAAAGGCAGACATCTGTCATTTTCAGCTTGTGAAGAAAAAGCAAATTTTTGTTTTGTAGGTATAGCTCAGACTCATTCTGATGATTTATTTAAGAATGTTCAAGTCGAATCATGAAAGAGAATCATTAGTTTAAATATTTATTTATTTGTTTGTTTGTTTTATTGTTGCCTCTACCCTGCAAGATCATTGGCAACAGTTGCTATTCACACTCTGTTGTAGAATTTTTAAAAATTGCAATGTTTTTTCCACGGCCTTTTCGTCGTCAGTGAGGTTCTCATTTAGACTCTGAGCCATATCCAAATGTTTCCTTATATTCTTAAATACTGGACATTCTTGGATGATATGTTGGACTGTTATTTGCACCTTACAGCTCTCGCAAGTCGGTGGGTTTAGTCCTTTTAGTAAATAGGCATGTGAAAATTCACAATGCTCAATTCTTAAGCGGCAGAGGACTGTCTCTTCTTTTCTGGAGAGTCGATTACTAGTTTTCCATTTGGAACAGTGGCTTTTTATTTCTTTTAATTTGGTTTCTTTTGTTGCCATACGTTTCGCGACATTACCCGCAATTTTTTCTTTATATGCTGTGTTAAATCTTCTATCGCGGTTTCGTTAATTATAACTGTCGGATTTCTCTCTCGCCTTCTCGCCATATTTGCTACTTTGTCTGCCTGTTCATTTCCACAATTTCGCTGTGTGAATATACCCACATGAATATTATTTCTTTTCCCTCTTCTGTTAGTTTCCAACAGATATTTTTAATAGATCTCGCGAGTGTGGTTATCGGTGTTTTCTTTTCGATGGCCAGAATTGCACTCTTTGCATCCGTTACCACGACCCTTTTGTTACTCTCCGTTGTCTAGTTTAAATTTAACCTACGATGTAAAAATTGTGTTTTTCTCAACTGTTTAAGAATGACAGATATTCGTTTTTCATATGAGGTCAGTCATATAGCCAATAATTATAAATATACAAATCCGTCATTTTCTGAAACAGTTTGGTTTGTGTTGCAAAGACTATCGCGGCATCACTGTACTTGGCCCATAAATCAAGTTGATTTTTTCTCTCTTTAATTTTACTCAGAATCATAGGTGCAGACTTTCTGGTTGGAGAGGAGTGATAAATCACATAATTAAACTAAAACGGACAATATAATACTATGCATGAAAATAAAGGTATTTATCTTTTAAATATTAGTTTGTTTTCGTATTGGTATGTGTGAAAATATGTAAACAAAGCAATTGAATATATCACATATTTTTATTGTTATTTAAACGTTACAGTCAGTCATATTATAAACTCTTAGTTCTCCGATGCTTCACATTTGCCGCGGTGACTGTGTTGAAATTTTCACGTAAAAATGGAAGGGTGCCCATGAATGAAACATAAAATCCTAGGATATACTGTGGCATATAGTATATAGTATATATTTAATTATTGGTGAATATATAATAAAATTTCAAAGATAGTAACGTAAGGCATTGTAAAATACTTGCGTGCCCAATTTAACAACACAATAATAATTTGAACTAGCCATCTTATTGACTATTCCTATATTCTTAATTCATTTTAGTTAACATATTTTATTCATTCTTTTAGCGTAGGGTAGTGTAGGGGTTTTAGGACTATAAATTGCGAGATTGTTAAGCCCGTTTTATCCTTTCAGATTAATTGGTTTTGATTTTGATTTTATTTAAGCTCTTTTTCTATTTTTATCGGGAGGCGATTGCCTTCCTCTCAACCTTCCCTACATCTGCAACTATGCATAAAAGGAAAACAAGACATGAGCAATTTATTTTTCCTATCTGTCCAGTCATTTGAAGAAGTGGCGGATGTTTCTCCGGTATTTTCATATTATTCATTCTTCAGTTAATCTTCTCTACTCGATATCATATCATTCTTATGTACATGATGAAAAGAAAAAATGTCAGAATGATGAAAATTAAAATTATTTAACTTTTTTTTTTTAATTCGTAGAAAGTTGAGATTGTTACAGTTCCGCAGTTTCGAATATTATTTCATATATTGGTTGTTGTTGTTTTTCAATGACGTCGGATAAATCCATACAGCCAAATAGATATTTATAGTGATATTTTTAGATAATATTTGACTAAATTTATTTTGTAATTGTTTTAAAATATTTTACTACGCTACTTATCTTTCTCTCCACTGCTCAGTGACAGTAATTATTTATAGGTTATGTTGCTATTGTCTAGGTTATGAAAAAGCGTTTTTCTGTGTGGTTCGTAAACTTCACATTGCACTACAATATGGCATTGTGTTTAAACACCTGTACCTATACCTTAACTTTTTTTTTGTTTTGTTTTTTAATCCTGTTGTCATATTTTGTAAATAATATACGATAATACCGTTTTAGCTGCTAATGGAAATCTTTTGTTCATAATACGTCATTAGACTTTAACCTAATAAATATTTTACTTCGCCTGTATTCAGATTGGTAGTTGAAAACCATGGTCTGAGTGAAATGTTTGGTAATGTTGATTTATAACACTGACCTGTTAGGGAATGTTGGTATATATATTGTTCTACATGCCTATACATATATAGGTAAATGAAAGTTAAAATCCCGATTTTTAAACAAAGTTTAGTATAGTTAAATTTAATACTTATATTTTGTTGATAATATCGTTTTAAGTGGTAATGGAAATGTTTTGTCTATTCCTAATTTTAAGTGAATAGAACTTATTTATTGTCCTTCAATGTTTCAGATTGTGTGTATTACTTACAATCTGCAAGCAATACAATCTTACACCTATATTTAAAATGATATAATAATAACAACTACTGTTAACTGATGCATTCTAGTGTCCTGTATATTGTATGTTCCAAAATAATTCAACTTATTTATGTGATGTAAATATTTATTCTGTATTTGTTCTCTTATAGGATTTCCTGCTATATTCAGTCAGGTGTTCAGCAATGTTCAAAATTCTTTTAAATAATTTAAATTCCGCCTCAGACAGGTAAACCTCTTATTAACGCTTGAGGTGTCTTCAACAGTCGACGATTGGGTTTATTATGTCGATGACTATTGAGCCTCGACGGGTCTGTTCCGGGCCTAATGAATAATAATTGACTAGCCCTCTCTCCCCTCCCCCCGAGACTTGGCAATAGGCTATTGATGTATTGACTGTTACGACGCCCTTGCAATTCCAGCCCCCGGTGTATTATTACCACCAACTGGTGCCTCTTCACTAGGACGCTCTCCTTTCCGAGTCGGATGCTCCCTTTTATTATTCATTGGAGGACCACCTTTTTCTCCTGAAATTCCCCAGGGAAGGGATTTTGAATCTTTTATCCATCCGCCTGGAGGAAGGCATTTTCTACCCTAGCAAATAAACAAGTCTGTAAGTCTTTTTTTTTTTTTTCCGGGCGTGTTACTCGTTTTGAAATTATGAGATGAATGCTGTGAAATATTACTCTTTTTATAACCGCTTTATGTTTAACTTTTATTCTCTTAGGGCTTTATACCTTTTAATTTTTCATATCCTAATGGGGGCGTAAAACACGGGGCTTGTATAACTAAGCCCGGGGTCTTTTTAGTCACAAGATATGAGCGAGAGCTGCTTTTATGATGCTTTTTTTGCTTTTGAAAGAGTTAATGGATCAATTATGTGTTTTTGCAGGTTAGAGTCCCGCTGATAAAGCAGGACTTCAAAAAAAAAAATTAAGTACAATACTTTTTCTTGAGAATTGTTCATCTTGTATAATTCTGGTTTTTATTTTAAATATGATATTTATTTAAAAATGAGTAGATGCCAGACTTTTATGTAAAATAATAAATGAAATTATATTTCAAAAAATGTAATGGAAAATCAATATCAAAATAATAAATTTAACGAAATATAAAAAAAATATAAGAACTGAAATTATAAAAGTTGATACAAATTTAAAAAAAAATGACGTATAGATTAATATTTTATATTGCTTAATAGTTTAAGAGACAGGATTAAAACGTAAAATATCAATCGAAACATGTTTGTTTGTATTTTGATTAATTAATATGAATAAATAGAACATAATTAATAAAATATGAATGCAGATATGTTGCTTTAATTTCTTTCTTTTTTTTTTGTACTTAATGAAAAAAGTACAGTATATTTATTTTTAACTGAATATTTTAATTTTTAATTTAAATATTAACTTAATGCTTATCAGTTAGGAATGTTGAAACTTTACTGTTTCTATTTTGTTTCTACTTAACACAAAATTTTGTTGATAAAATCCTAATCACTTGACTTAGTGAGCCATACAAGATTATTTTAACATTAAACAAATTGTTTAACATTTTTCAATGAGAGGGGTGTAGTCTCATACAAAAGAAATCCGTAAGGATTCATATTTTAAGCAGTAAGATAATAGAATAATAAAACTACAATAAAGCTGAAAAAATGGGAATAAAAATTACATAAGTATTTGAAATTAGTGTATTCAAAATATACATAAAAATGCAATTATAATAGTAATAAAAAAATAAATTAAAAGTATATGTACTATAATTAAAAATAAACAAAAAAGTATATATATTTAATTCACATTAGAATGTCTGGTATAAGTATGAGTTTCCGTCTACTGGTTGATATTAGAGTTCCTATTTTGAATGTTCCTGCACCTTTAAATAGAAAATTATTTTAATTTAAATTAATAATATAAGAAATACTAGGTTTCGTATCCTCTCTGTTTTTTATTCAAAATATTAATTATATATAATATTAGCTGGGTTGGGGTATAACTTGAATGTATTTGCGAAAACCGAGTACAGAAATTATATTCAGGTAAGGCCGATTTTCTTTAATTTGTATTCTTTAATAAAATCGCTATGTCGCATTCAAAACGTGTACGATATTTGGATCTCCACTTGGACAAACGACTGACATGACGTACCACATAAAATACAAAATAAGAAAACTTAATCAGCGATATGGATTTATTTCTACGCTACTAGACAGATTTAGAACGTTATTGGTGACTAATAAATTAACTATTAATTAACAAAGTTCTCATTAAACCACTTAGGACACATGGTATCGAGTTATAGGAAACATCAAAGCAATAAAATTTAAAAATAATTTTATGAAGAGTTGGTCGGTGGGTGCGATCAAATAAGTACTAACTTTTTAAAATATTATTCTAATCATTACACCGACCCACTTTGTAAGTCTTCATCAGGGCTTGGTATCGGGCACTGCAGAAAGCAGTTGCTAGACTGTTAATAATATTTTTTTCATTCCAGTCAAAAGGACTCCGGAAATTGTAGACGCACCCTTTCATGTTTCGAACCTTACGTTACATACTGACCTTGACATTGCTGTTGTCACGGCTACTGCCTCAGAACGCTTTAATAATTTTCATTATTAACTCAAGCTCTATCTATTGCCACAGATTCATGTAATCCGCCCAGAAGACTGCTGAGGCGCTGGTCAAGAGACTTAAAGTGCATTGAGCTACCTCCTGTGTTATCTTTTGCTTTTGTGTTATTATTTTATCTTATTTTCATTTTCATTTTTTGATTGTTTTGTTATCTTTTTTTTTGGTGTTTTGTTCTCCTTGATATCATATTTGCTGAATACAGTAGTAGATGGCAAATTTATTGTATGTAAGAAATACCTATAACTTATAAATACATATTATTGTATTTCGAGTCAATTAAGGTTTTTATTTGGGTCATTCAATAATATCGATATTGCAAGAAATGTGTTTGAACATTATTTCATTGAATGTACAGAATTTTAGGTATCTAGGATCTACGACTACTAGAAAAAAACGAAATTAAAGAGGATATTAAGGTTAGGTTGAAGGCGTGAAATGCTTGCTATTTTTCTTTGCCAAAACTACTTAGTTCTCGCCTCCTGCCCCGAAACTTAAAAATAAGAATTTACCATTATCCTTCCTACTGTTCTTTATGGATGCGGAACGTGTTAAGCTTTTTGAAAATAAAGTAGTGCGCAGAATATTCGGACTGAAAAAGGACGAGTCAACCGGAGAATTCAGGCGGTTACATAACGCTGAATTGCGTGAACTGTACCCGGTTAATATAATTGAGATGATTAAGTTGTGGCGAATAAAATGGGCATGTAAAATCGCACGGCTCAGTAACAAAAGAATTCCTAAAAAGTTAATATGCGCTGTACGGACTAGGAAGCGTCCAAGGGATAGACCAAAGCGAAGGTGGGAAGATTAGCGGATTTACGAATTTTGCGGAGTTGAGTTTAGATGGATTCCGGTAGATGAAAGAATGTGGACATCGATTGGTGGTATCGGCATTGAACCTTCGGGTTCGCTAAGTCTTATTATTATTTGAGTCGGTAGGGTTGTCCGTTTTACTGTGCGAAAAAAAAAAAAACGTAAACTTTTGACCATCGACCCTCCATGAGCCTAGAGTTCATAGTTTATCTCTACTATATCAGATATGACCATGTTGTCTTATCTTTTATTTAATTATCAGTTTCTCCAATTTTCTTTAGAATCGCATTATCGTCCTATGGTGATCCCTATAAGTTTGGATACTTAGAAGCTAGTATGAATATTTCCGAGTCCTGTTTTTTGAGTGGGCTCGTTATTCTCCCTTGGCTTGGAGAAGTTGTGATGGATGGGATAGTGATGGTAGGTATTCAAGGCAGGGCCGCCTTGCTTGAAAAATGGGAGAGCTAGAGACTTTGTCTTCCCCAACCACCTCTGGCTCCATAGTGAGCTATATCGCCCATCGTTTGCTGTCATTGATCCCAGAGGTTATTTTCTCGTGGGTCTCTCGATTGCACAATAACTCAGTATATGCTAAATTTCGCCATTATTAAGTTGAGGTTGAGTAGCCCAAGATAAATAAACAAAAATATCCGTTTATATCGTTAGAAAAAAGACCTTTCTACTCTCAATAATTAAAATACTTTATTTTAAATCTATCCAAATATTCTCCCCTTCAGGCACCTTCAGGGATAAATTCTGATTTTATAATATATTGTGAATTTTCGTCTGAAAACAACATATACGAAAATATTTTCAGAGGATTTACAATTAGACATTAGCCCATTTATACAACACATAACATTAAAAACGAATATTAGCAAGTCAGAGATATGTATATTAAAAAACTTATTCGCTTATACCTGTGCACCATATATGTCTTCGAAAAAAGATGGAAAATTTTCTGTTTTGAAGGATGAAGGTATTGCATAGATGCTCTGTACTTATTAAGATTTTGTTTTGTCCTATTTTTTGTAAAACTATCATACCTTTACCTATAGCTATCGCAATAATATGAGATGATCGTATTACAATGTGAAAATAATATAAACTCAATAAGATAAAAGTTATCAATTAGCTGAAATCTCTTATCTCTTTGTTTATTTTCCTTATCTCAATTGACTTATTGGAAGAAACCAGACGCAACTGCGTTACTGATAGTCATCGACGTTTCCGATTTGCCTCCCTATTGTTAGTTTCGTGTTTTCACTACGGTCAGTGTCTATGTGTCCGTTCAAAGTGTTAGGTGACTACTTCGATGGTCATGCCAAAGACTTGCCACTCGCTTCTTCTTGGATGTTTTCCCACCAAGTCTGCGTATACTTTAGGTTTGAAAATATATGTCAATTTTATATTAATGTAGTGTTTATATTATGGAAATATTTTGCTCTTCTTATCCTTTTGACATTATTCTCGATACGGATTAAAATAATTCTTATAACATTTGGAGACGCTTAAGTACCTTATCATATTTACACTTTTGGTCTATTGTTGTTGTTTATTTATTGCATAAACGTTGCTACTAATTTTTTAAAAATGGATTTCGATCCTGACTAACCTTCCATTCCAAAAAAAAAAAATATCATTTTTCTCTTTAAAACGAATTTAAAAGATACCATATGACCCGAAAAATATCAGGCATAAATTTATTCTCCATAATAATTTATGATTCCGTTGCAAATTGAAATTTCAGAAAATTTGTCACTAAAGCTCTTACTACAACAAGATTTCCGGCAATGAAAAAAAAAAAATAATACCTTAAAATAATAATAATTCTGAATTATAAAACCTTATTACTATTATAGGATACGCAGAAAGTATTTAATTGTTATTTCCATTTTCTTTTATTATTTTTAGTTTTAAAAAAAAAATGAGAGAGTAACTAATGAAAAATCAGGAGTGTTATTATCAAATACAGGACCAATTAAAGTTCAATTTTTATCATCGTTTTTTTTTTTTTTTTAAACCTGAATGTTTTTGGGTCAGTCCTAATAAAAAAATAAACCTTAATCTAGCAAAACTGAAACCAAAAATCTGTTTCTTAAAATTTTTAAATATATGTTTCTTGAGGCGATATTCATGTATTTTCATAATAATTCATTTAAACGTATAGTATTGATTGGAAACCAATTTTATTTAAGTTGAACTTGAAATTCAACAGTTTAAGAATCAACCAGAAGATAAATCTTTAGAGCAGTGGAATATTTGAATGCTGTTGTTGACATAAATGTTTAAATAATGGAAAAGTACAGTTACAATTAGTCTGTATGAAATGTATTAAAAAATATATTAATAATAATAGCTTACCATTTTCTTAACTTTTATTTCTTTGGTGGTGTTGGTTATGTTAGAAACTTATGTATTAAATGAAACAAACATTTTTAGTGGATTTATAATTATTTGTTTGACAGGTATTTGTAATACAAATATATTTAGAATTTCTACTATTTTTTCTTTATTTTATTTTATTAATATCACGTTATTTGATTAAATTAAAAGTCAAATGTCTAAATATAAAAAATACGTGTTTATCCACATTTTAATAATGAAATTTAAAAAAATTAGTTGCTGTTTCCAGCCTTCTTACGGTTTATATAATTGTTATAGTATTTAATGATAATATTTCTTATTGATGCCTGGAATTTTATTTAAGGGTTACAAATATTTGCGATAATGACCTTGATCAATAATAGATTATGATTCGCTACTTGTCGCTAAAAAATGGAATGATGAGATGGATCGTTTGTTAGTAAGGCTCTTGAAATTGTCTTCATTCCAAGCACTCTATTTGCACCATTGCATCATTCCATTTGGCTTGAATTACTAATTGCAACGGTTTTCTTTGGCCAGGAGTTCTCGCCTTATTTATTCGATGTTTATATTTTCATAAATAAAAGGATATTGATCCTGAAATAGTTATATTGGATTGGAAATATTTTTCCGTTGTCCTTATATTCAAAATAACTAATTGCATTTATAATTGATATTTAAAAAAAAATAGTGTAGCATTAAAGCATTATGTTATGGTCGGCACCATGTTAAATTAACGAGTGTTAACCTGCCTAATTTTGTACATTTGCTACTTTAACTTGGTGGCTCCGATATGATATGAGATATGCATTTTCGTAATATTTATGGAATAACATAAATATCTCTACAAATAAACAGATACCGAAATATTAAATCATGTGAAAAACAAAATAATAATAACAATACACCGAATGAATGAACGAGTAATCAATAATAATGACATCACCAAGAATTTGACCTAATTTCGAGTAATGAATTAATTCTCTATTTCATCATTAATGGGTATAATTAGAATTCTAATTTAATGTAATTATTGAAGATAATTTTATATACGAATGAATGTGCTATTATGACATTAACGAATTTATTGATTAGGCATTTCATTTTATGGTTTTTTATTTTATAATTAAATGTTTCCCATTGAGAAAAAAAAAAATCTATTTTCTTGCTTCTTCCTCTTATTTTCCTAATAGTTTTTTATTGAGCTGAACATAAATTGTAAAAGGGATATAATTTGATAAATGATAAAATAATAAATTTGGTGTAGAGATGGTCGACCGTGATATAATATGAGGAGTTGGTCCGTGGGGTGCGGTCAAATAAATATTAAATTATTAAAATAGTATTTTATTGGTAACGCCGACATTTCGACCCACTTAATGGAATTGTCACTATGTACCTTTTATTTGTACCCTTTGTAGCCCTGATGAAGACCTACAAAGTGGGTGGAAACTTCAGCATAACGAATGAAATACTATTTTAACAATTTAGTATTTATTTGACCCCCATCCTTTACCACGACCAACTCCTCATAATAATTAATTTATTTATCGATTGACAAATCTCGAATTTTTAATTTGATGATATGGAGTTAAAAATATCTCGAAACATTTAAACTATTAATTAAATATTTAGATTAATTATATATTTACAATTCACTACACAAAATAAATCCCATCTGCTTTTTAAATATAATTACCTACTTATTAAATACGCCGATTACTTTTCTAGTATAAAAAAGTTATAATTGAAAATTTACTAGACTACTGTATTTGTTGTATTTTATAGTAATAATTATTTATTCGTTGTCTGTACTTTTGAATATATTTATATTTCTGTTTCGTCTTTAGATTTTTTTTTCGTTTCAATCTAGTTTAAAGAAACCGATAAGAAATAGATAGGATGTTGTTCCAGACAACTCACTGTATATGACATTCAACCGTTGTATGACATCGACTGTCAAAAACTCTCTAAATTTTTTATTATAAATAAATTTTACTGAATGTTAAATATCTTAGCTATCATTGAATTTTTATGTTGAACTATTTAAGAAATGAATATGTGTATTGGAATGAATTTCGTTGTCCACTTAACAGTTAATTTTTAATGCTAATAATAATAGATTATTAAACATGTCAAATTATCGGCAAAAGTCATTAATTTATTAAAATTTATCGTTAGTTAATTATATATTTTTTCTATTAAATTATTTTGAAAGTAGTTGTCACCTTTTATAAATTTTTCCCTACATTTCAGAAAATAAAATAAGATTTTACCTCCAAGGAGATGGTTTAGATATTTTAGAATTTTAGTAGTTATCACAAAATGCAAAAATAATGCTGGCTCAGTTCTGTGCACTCATGTTCAAATATAAATACTGTTTAGCAACGGTATACTCTCGAAATATTGTATAATGCATGGTTACATAAGGTGTCGAGTTACGTAAGGTGGGAGTGTACTTAAAAAAAATTGCATACTCCTTAGGTATCATTTACAGTGCATTTTTTAGTCACGTATTGTTTACGTTATATGATATAAATAACGTTTGAATTTTTTTTTTTTTTTTGCATAGTATAAGATTCTGTCTTGTATTACAATAAAAAAATTCTAATTCCTAACAAAAAAATATTTATGATTAAATTCTATTATGCGATTCAACGAATATTCGCCCCTTCAGTTGGTTTATTTCTTGTTCGAAATTACTTACTTTTTTTCAAATTTTCAACAATGAGCAGGAAATAAATACATAAATCTACTCATTCAGACTGTTTTGTATATAATGTGTAGGCAAAAATACATATATATTTAAAAAATTCAAACTTATAATTAATACAACGCATAATAAAAAGCTTACTGGTACGTAATTAACAAAATCCAACATAACAACGGTGGAACATCGTACAATAATTCATTTAACATTTTATATTAATTATTAGACTAGTGTGAATAGACAATGTTCCTACGAGGAGGGAGGAGTCTAATAAGGCGTTGGATGCGAGTATCTAGAGATTTCTGACATGTCATTATTTTCAAAATTGTCAGCAAATTTGTTGATTTCCGACTGTTAGTTGTCAGGAGGAAATTGACATGCGAAGAAAATTTTTTTTTTTGTTTCAGATAATTTTTACGTTTGAGGTGACGTTTTAAGATAGCG